GGATGCAAATAGGGAGGTTCCTGTCTGCCCGTGTGTTATTTAGTCGTGCAAGTGATTTTGTATGTCGCTATTTTTGTTGTCAATATGGAAAGCACCATCAAAAAGAGCAATTAACGTTACCTGATGTTGGTGCATTGAAGGGTTCTATAGTTTGTGATTCATGATCAGAAAATACAGACGTATCATCTCTTTGAGCCACTCACAGTATAAGCTATGCAGGATGCTGGGTAAATTAAACTGAGCTTTATATGCTGTTGCAGTCATAACCTGAATAAGACCTGACTAAGACTTAAGAACTGGATTGAAAGGAACCTTACCTTTAGATATATGCCTTAAGGTTTTACTGTAGCATCAAGTTCTCTTGGGTGAAGCCCATCCAACAGAAATACGTAATTTAGTTTCACTATGGTCCAGCAATTAGAGTGCCAATATACAGAAATTTTAGTAATATTCTCAGAATTCGTAGATTACCCAATGGGACACTAAAGTCCTCATTACATCTTGCACCCTCTGAATGTATGTAAAATTAAGAAAGTTAGCCAACTTCTTTTCCTGACCATAGTTATCCAACTGTATGGCTTTTCTCCCCTCCAAAAGAATGGAGCTTGTGCTTTTCATGTTATACCAATAACAGTGAATATTTTTCAGATTTTATACAATCTCATTGTTTATGTCTCAAATTAGAGGGCCTCGTGTCTGGGAGCAGCTATTTGTGTTAGTTTACAATGGTTACAAAACAAAGATAACCACTGATTTCTGGCAGAGCCACAACTCAAAGCTGCCCAGCCTTGGAGTTGTGGACCATCACTCCAGTAAGACCCCATTAAGAAATTAGAGAGAGTTGTGCAGATATTAGAGAGAGACCTGTGCAGCAGAAAAATAAGTAACCATGAGATAGATGTAACATGGAGGGACCTAATATAAGCAGAAATAGTGACATGCTAAGTTAAAAAAAATATAGCACCAAAAAGGAGAACTAAAAATGGGGTTGTTAAGGGTGGACAGTACTCCTTCATTAGATGCTTTCCTTACTGATAGCATCCTTATTTGCCCCAGAGAGCTGGGAGTTAATCACGTGGTAAAACCTCCATGAACAGACAGCAGCTAATATAGGGGCTCTAGTGGCATTGTGAGAAAGTGTCGTATCCTTTAGAGGGACAGTGCTGGTAAAGCAAATGCATGTTCTTTATGGCCTTGTCCCTGCCTTGCCTGCAGTAGGTATTCCTTCCGCAGAAGGTAGTGAAGAAGGAAGGGTGAGCAATGATTATAAAGGTCTGTGTCCACAAGCTTCCCAAGCCTATGTATACAGATGTGTATAGAGATGTGTATATGGTCGTGTATAGAGATGGGGGCTTTCACTGGGCACGAGGAATTCTTTGAATGGGGTTCAGTGCCTGCGGCGGCGCTGGTGGGATGTCCGTGCTAGTGCCCCAGGGCCAGGGCGGTGTGAGGTCCTGCAGCTGCAAGGCCAAGCGAGTCAGTCTGGAGAGAAGCGTAATGAGCTTACAAGGCTTACAGGTCTTTCCTGCACAAAAGGTGAATTGCATATGAAATAAAAGTACTGTGCACAGTTTAAGGCAGGATCATAAAGAGAATATTACTATTGTATGTATTATTGAGTGTGGTTGCGTTATGGTGATGGAGTATATAAGACAACCCTAACTTTTGAGTTTTCAGCTCTCAGAGTGCTTTTTATTGTAACTCTAGTGGGTTTGTGCTTGTTTGTTTTTTAGTTTAGTTCTTTAGTATTGAGTAGATAGCGGGTTATTTAGCAGGAATTGCAGTATATGACGTGCCTATTGGGAAAACCAGGCTGCGTTTGCGCATTCAGAAATTCTGTGGCAAGTGGGAGGAAAAATCCCTGAAGGTTAGGACTCTGTAAAATCCCTGTGCTTCTTTCTTCTCAAAGGCTGTGTGTGGCACTTTCACAGGAACAGATAGTGGGGATTATGTATGTTCTGACATAATCACCTGTTCTCCCTGTTCCCCAAGTCCTGTTTGTTCATTGTGATTTCTCATATAATATTTGTGCTCTTGGTGTTCTTTTGTTGTTACTTCTAGCTCAGTGAGGACACAGGGGACACTAAAGCACACACTGTAACGTTGGAAAAACTAGAACGTGCTGCTTACAGTTTATTCCTATATTTATCTGTGTTTGATTTAGTTCCCTTTTACTGCAGTAACCAGAGTCTCCAGAGGAATACTCGGTAACTGCTGTTACTGCTTCCTCATCTTAATTGGCTTCTTACAGAATAACGTGCAGATAGGCTGCTTTGGAACATAGTGTCAGGAGGCTGCACTGGGTATGTCATTGAAACCCTTTCTTCAGGCACACTCATTGCCGGGCACCATAGCAGCTCCTTTTCATCTCTGCACGGCATCTGTGTGACCTGAACAATCCTGAAGCTTACAGTCACTTTCCACTACTGAGGAATGAATAGTTTAAAACTTTGCCAATATTTCTCCAGAGGAGTCTATGTCAAATAGCATTCGGTCACTTCCCCAGTGAGCAGGAGGATTTAGCTACCACTGGATTTACAGCCGAAGCAGCCAGGTAGCAGTTCGTGGTATATGGGGAAGGGTTTTTTCCCCAGTGTCTGTATTGACTCCTTGTTCAGAGCCTGATTACTCAAGCGTAGCATTTACTTATAGGGGAATATATAGAACTAGACATGCTACATTATTAGAATAGATAATAGGTGGGAGCTTCTGGTCAACATTTTTTTTCTTATGAATAGATAGACAGATGTAGTAAAATGTACACAAAGTAGGATACAAATGAGAGACAAAACAGAAATTCAAAATACAATTACAGTTTTACTGATTGCCACTATAGATGGTAAGCCAGAAATTTCCTTTTCTCCAATTTCATTATTTACTCCAAAAGTAAGCCTGTTAACCTGCTATGATTCTACCTACCCCTTCAATGAAAAGCAAATTTACCAGAAAGTTACCATTTAATAATTAGGCATGTTGTAATCTGTTTAGACAAAGTATATAATGCAGACATGCATAAGAAAGCCTGCTCTCAGGGGGCAGCAGTAAAATGTTATGCATTTTATTAGAATCCACATCAATGTGAACACCCTAACTCAATTTGCCTCTCATTAGTGACTGCTGACATGCCTTCGTTATTTGTATATAGTTCTCAAAGACAAAAAGAAATAGGCAGTTGTTTCATCTTCCATGCCCCTCTCCATACTATATAGGACTTTGAGTGTGACAGTCATTTTAAAACCTTACTGACTGTGACTCATAACATTTCTCTCAGATGGGAACTTTCTCCTCTCCTTTTGCTTTAATTTTTGTTGTTGTTTTTTGGGACACGGTGGCATGTCCTCCCCAACTACAGGAAAGGCCAGTAGAGCATCCCTCTGCTCTCATTTGGTGAGTTGGTCCCAGCCCTGATGCTCTCTCTCTCACCACCACTTTTGATGGGATAAGTACCTCCTGCTGCTACAGACTTGCACGGACATAAGATACCAACATACCATCTTATGTTGACTGCATTTGCTGTAGAAATAGTTGGAGATTTATAGCAGGCAGTTTTGTTTCTGTAGCTTCTCTGGGGAAGTCATTTGCTGTAAAGCTCTTATAATGCAAACATAGTTTTGTTGATAAATGCATTAAGTTCACTTCATTATTTTCATAGGGTTACATTCATTTTTGTATGTGAATGACGGTTTATTTTTCAAAATGTTTGCAAGTCTCATGATTTTCATAAATTGTAGTGTTGATGATTTTCGTAAATTGTAGTGTTGATAAGTACCCATCCAAAAGTATGTTACTCGTTCTTTGTTATTTGTATTTGTTCTCCTTTAAAAACAAACAAATATACCCTAACCTGGAAAGAGACCCATACACTGGAAATTGTTTACATAAATTACTTTGCTAATTCTAGTGATTTACAGAAAAAAAAATGTTGTTTTATGATCATAACCAAATACAGTTTTATTACTGAGAAGCAGAATTTCTCAGTTCTTATTGTGCACTTATCCTGATAGGAAATATTGTACAGTTGCTTGCTATCAGTGAGAGTGATGCAGTGATACACCAAAATAAAAATAAAATAGATTTAGAAAAGCCCTCCAAGTGTCCATGTTAATTATATTCACCTTCAGATAAATAGGAGTGTTTGTTCTACTGCTTATCTTAAGAGATCCTGTTGAAAGGCTGTTAATGAACATTGTGACAAGTCCATACTGGGACACAGAAGAATTACCAGTGTGTGACGATGGTGCCATAAAGGCCTTAGCAATATTCCTGAATAGTCTCTTCACAGATGTGTCTTATCAGCAATTTTTTTCAGAGTGTCATCTTATAATGCAGAATGCGGTTAGATTTTAGGTATATTAAAAAATGTCCTGTATCACCGGGCAGATCAGGTAGCACAGTTCTTCCATACGCTCTCCCGTAGACACAGAGTAGGTATCCCAACCACAGGGCATGTGAAAGAACTGGGTTTAGACATTTGCCACCTAGGCCCTTGCCCTAATTCAAATGACCCTGCTTTATTTCTTAGCCATCTTGCTTCAGGAAAAGGAAAGCTTCTTTTGCCATAGCCTAACCTCCTAAAAAGCAAACTTTCTGAGTTTTTAGAGGTAAAGTTATATGAACAGTACCCATAAGACACCAGGATCTCCTGAAGTTGCAAAATTGAGACAGCAGTGTCCTCCTCCTCCTCCTGTCTCTTTCCAAACAAATCCAAGACTGTTATTTTAAATGTTGAGACTGTTAGTACTATAAAACAGGCTAAAATGTGAATAACGTTCCCTTTTGCTGTCTGCTTAAGTCTCCCTTCCCTCAAACCCATGAGCCTTGACATGTGCTGCTTTGGGTCTCTGTCAGTTTATTTTATTTTATTTTTGTTGTAGAGAGAAATGTTCCTTATTTTAAACAGTACATTATGTAAAATTTTTTCTTGACTACTATATTTAGGATATAGTTTTATAAACTGTTTTCCTCTTCCTTTTTCTTCCTCCTCTCCTTTTGATGCACAGAATTCCTGGGAAATCTAAGAAGTTAAGGAGAGACTGAACTCCGTTTTAGTTCCATAGCATTGCTCACATTATACCTGTTTGGAAACTCATTTTCCCATTGCTGCCGTGGGTGGAGTAAATGGCATCAATGTTTCTATCGGGAATTTCTTTCCAACTTGTGCCTTCTGTCTTTGGGACAACATTTCTCTTCTGCCATCCCAAACTTGTTGTGACACACTCGAAAGTAAAAATGACAATGGTTTATTTTTCTCCATCCTTTTTCATCCTGTCTTTTGGAAAGAAATTTTTCTCTTTAACAAAGGATAAATAATCCTAACTAATTAAATGTAATTGAATTTGT